GGGTGCAAGAAGCGGCGGCTGGGCGCGTCCATCACGGAAAAGTGGGTAGCGTGTCCTGTTCGCTTCCCCGGGTGTGCAAAGGGGTGGTTGCACCGGTCGCGGCTGAACTGCTCATCCTGCGAGCGAACCCTCAGGCGCTGCTGGATTTTTCTATCGCCCGGCTTTTGGGGTTTCGCTAGATAGTGAAGAGTATTGTGGCGTTTAGCGTTTCCACACTCAGGCAGCAGGGGTTTTGTTCCTCTCGCGGTTCAACACTCTCACAATGAATGTGTGCTTGTGATTGTCTTTGTTGCTCCATTATTTCATATAATTCAATCTCCTGGACAATTAAAAAAATTTTGCTTTTTGCCATGTTAAGTGAATATGGACTAAGATTTTTAAGAGTGGGAGCAAGTCCATTAAGAAAAGCGTCGACAGAAAATGTAAATTTTATTTTTGTTTAAGAAAACGTCGTATCTTATATCGATTGCTCCGTATCGACGTAAGACGCGGTAGGTCACACCTCGCAGCACTCATATCGATTTTCTATCGCGGAAGCGCGGAGCGCTTCACGCTAGTGCTTGACAGTTCCGCGCGCGTGTCGTGATTTCGTGCAATTCGGTGAGCGATCGGTCCGTCCTTTTTCGTCGGTCATACGAATGTCAATGTCGCGAAGAAAAAGTGTCGAAAAGTGACGCGACGATAGCCTCGCCACACACGTGCCCGAAAACGCGTTGCGCGTTAAACGCGAGATACGCGGATAGATAAGTCGTACGTGGAGTGCGCCCGTGCACTGGCCGGCGAGGTCTCCCGCGGATCTGATTCCATTCTTCCTGTGGAGTACTGTGAAACAGTAAACAGTGAATGCGTGAACAATCGCAAGAAATGCGCTCGATCGAATAAATCGTTGCGCGATGCACGGGGCTCCTTTGATGTGCGATGTCCCTGAGCGCCGGAAAATTCAGCGCATCGATTGGGGAACTTTTGCTCTTCATAACGCCGAAAGTACGACACCCTTCACATTTTGCCAAAGGAACTTTCGTCTCAGAACAACGTCAGGAGTCTACCCTGAACCGGTTATTCGGTAAGTCTGGGACACCCTGTATATACTTTATTAAAGTGGATGACATTCTACAGATTTTGGTTTTTCTTGCTGCTTTTTTCTTTGCAATGATATGGGCTTCCGTTTTATGGGATCAGATGTTTGTTGTGTTTCGTTTATCTTTATTGGAAAATGTGTCAACTATAATTTCATTATCATCATCTGAAGTTTCTTGTGTTTCCATATTTTTGTTTATTACGTTGGAAATAGTATCGCGTTCCTTTAAGACAGCGCTCAGAATTAGTTGCACATTTCGGGCCGATTTCCGAGACAACGCCTCCTGTTCCCCCACTACCGCTCGGCCGCCAGCGGCCGAGCGGTAGTGGGAGAACAGGAAGCGTCGTCTCCAGTGTTCTGATTAGGGACCGGTTGTATGCGCATGTGCGGTAATGGAGATCCAGTGCCGTTATATGTTGTGTGTTGACCGTATGGCGGGACGTTTTGACATGAGGAGGTTAAGTGACTACAAATAAGGTAAGATTTATTTATTTACAAGCATGGAATCTACGGAGCCAGTAGCTAAAAAACCAAGAAATAGAAAATTTCAATCAATTTCAAAAAATTTTGAAATATTTTAAATGTAGGGGGGTAACGGTGCCTTGTTTAACTTGTATGAGACACTGTACTGACGCCGTATTGCCGCACATGCGCATACAACCGGTCCCTAATCGGAACACTGGTCGTCTCGGGAATCGGCCCGAAATGTGCAACTAATTCCGAGCGCTGCTTTAAGAAATTATTCAAAAAGTTTAATTGGTCTTCGTATTTGTATTTATTAATTTTTTTAGCAGATTGGCCACTTGTTACTTTTTTTTTTAAAAGATTTTCGAAAATTATTTTTTATGTTACTCCATCGAGTCTTACAGATACTGACTAAAAAAAATTTTAAGAATAATGTAGGGACTTGATAAAAACGACAGCGAAATAACTAATAAAAGTATAAGTATATTTGGAAATAATTACAAGTATGTGTTCACTGGCCGACGGACGAACGAGAAATCTGTCTCCGTGGCTCGCATCGGCGGTCAGCCTCATGCTTTTTGCTAAGTCATTTAGCTCGTCTTTCGTATCGAGAGGCGTTTATTGTTTATCAACTGCCTTATATCGGCAAATGTTTTGAAACGCCGATGTCTCGCTCGACCTAACCGTCTCGTTTTCTAACATTCGCAAATGTAATATTTTACTTCTACACTCGGCCGTCCTGCCATTGTAATCTGACCTTAGATTTCGTCTTGGCTGTCGGAATCCTCGAGAGAATCGACTGTTCCTAACCAGGGCTTTATACAATCGGCAGCCGTCGAGGTTTCGGATGGTCCCTCGTGATCACCTATCCTTTTTTACCACATATTTATCGTTACGCAATGCTTGAGAATTATTTGATAGGGCCCTAGAAATTTAGCGGCGCATTTCAAGCCTGGACCTAATTGAGTTTTAATCGCTACTAAATCATCTTCGCGGTACTGTCTCGCTTCTTTCCAACGCATTTCTTATCATAAATTCGTTTATTTTCAAATAGATATAGTGGTAGGAGGATCTCAAGCCCAAGTAGATTGTATTTCTTGATATATATTTTTTTATTAAACCAATGTTTGAACAAACGTTTTGGCTGATCATTCAACTATCTTCAGTGTTTCTTTTTATCTGTACTTAAAACTATGTAGATTTAATTCACCATTATTAAGGTCTTTACTGGTGAAGTCACTTATGTGATTGTGAGAAATTGTAGTTGCGGTGTTAATCACAAGTCACCATGTTCTCAACAGATCTCAAGAAATACAATCTACTTGGGCTTGAGATCCTCCTACCACTATATCTATTTGAAAATTACAAGCCTAAACTTCAAGTTTATTCGTTTATTTTCTTCTAGTGTGCGTATTATACATTTTCGCGTTTGTTCTCTCAACTCATCTCGATTTTCTTGGAATATTGCTTCCCATTCGCCTTCGATCAATTCTTTTATCTCAGATCGTCTTTTAATCTCATATGTGTACCGAACATTAGTTGAAATGGAGTTTTACTTGTACTTCGATTCGATACCGCATTTAGATATTGTTGCGTTCGATCTAAATATTTATACCATTCCTCCGGCCGAAGCGCTGTCAATTTTGTCAGTATCGGTATCAAGGTTCGATTTATTCTTTCTACTTGGCCGTTTCCTCGCGGAACGCCCGTGGTAATAAGTATGTTTAATATTTTCCTTTTGACAATATTCACGAAATTTGTTTGATGTAAAAGCAATTCCCCTGTCCAAGATAATTCTTTTTGGATTTCCAAAAATAACGGCCAATTTATTCAATTTATCTAAAACTTCTGCCGAGCTAGTTGATCGCGTCCCGAATAACCACACAAATTTTGAAAATGCATCTACGACTACAAAAATATATGTATATCTTTTTTTAGTTGAAGGAAGTGGCCCAAGATGATCAGTATGATAAGTTTTGAGAGGCACATCACCTTTAGGTATAGGATTTAAATAGCCATTTAGCCTGCCTGCTTTCTTATTTGCTAAAATGCAATTCACACAATTTCGAATAATTTTTTCGATTGTCTTACGCATGTTGGGAAACCAATAATTTCGTTTCATAAGCGCTTCTGTTTTTTCGACCGCAAAATGCCCATTTTCATGAACACACTGTGCTATTTGAGATTGTAAGCATTTCGGCACTACCAATTGTATATCGCTGTCGTTTTCTTTGAATAGTAGTCCGCCTCTCACAACATATCCGTCGCATTGTCGCGTGTCCGCTAGCAAGTAAATATTTTGTAAGTTCGCATCCTCTCGTTGAGCCTTTCGAATTCTGGCTATAACGCTTTCTTCCGACTCATCTATTAGCATACTACATGGAAGGGCCTGCACAGCACATAATATTGCTGCAATATTGCTAAAATATTGCAATATTGCGATAATATTACGAAGATATATTGCAGTAATATTGCACTAATATTGATGCAATATATAATGTCCGCAAAAATTTATCACAGTAATATTGCTGCAATGTCTCTGTAATATTTTTGCAATATCATAATAATATTGTTGCTATGGCCTCATAATATTTATATAATATCATAACAATATTGTTGCTATGTCTCCGTAATATTTGTATAATATTACAGTGATATTACTACCATGTCTCTGCAATATTCCTGCAATATCACAATAATATTGCTGCAATGTATGCACATAATATATATATAATTATTTAATAAATATAAACAATTTCTTTATATTTATTTATTAATTCTTTAATAAACATAATAGCTTATTACATAATATTATTATATAGTATATATCGTATACGACAAAAATAAAAATATGTGTTTAAAATTATTATTTTTTACTTAATTATTTTTGATCAGCTCTGCTTTTTCCTTCTTAGCTCTGAAAAGAAAAAAAGAATCAAAAATGTATAAAACACATGCATAGGTGGTATTACACGTCAAGTAACCACTCTTGTTATAATTTTGACACATTTAACAGTTCACAGTCGTTAAAATGTATAACTGTATAATACCTGTTTCTCGATAAGCGAACAGGTGCATTTGCTAGCCACTTGCCCATTTGTTTATGAATGTAATCTTCTTTACTATTTTCGCTGGCCATTATTGCTTCTGTAAAATACAATATTGATGTTACAAATGAAAATGTTTCCCATATATTATTAAACAGAATCGTAAGTGAAGATTTCAAATAGATCAAAAACGGATACTTGCCAATAATGCACGAAGCTATTTTAAAATCCAGTAAGGTCTTTTTCTTTTGTTTACCCCGCATACTGAAATCTGATGCCAACTCATTTGTGAAAACTTTGGCCATAATATTGTTTGTTAAATCTTCTACATTTTTTCCTCCTCGTTTCATAAGTGCGTCTAGCTGCAAAAATTATTTCTTGTTAAAAATGTTATTTTAGAATTTTCTGTTGTAGTTAAAATTTATTATATGAGAAAAATTAAGCTCATAAACGTTCAATGCTTACAATGAATGTTTTATCTCAATTTTAAAATGTGTAATTTATTAATGACAAAAAATTTAACAATAATTTATTTGCAAAAGAAAATAACTGTGCTTTACAATCGTTATCATCATACAAATGTTTTAAAAAAAGCCATAGAATCTATAAAGTGCTGAGGGAATATTTTGAGGATCGTACGTGATATATACTTATAAGAAATTCCAGAAATATCTTTGAATTTCGCAATAAGTTAGTGTATGTGCATATACATCATGCACGTTAATACAGATCCATGAAGTTGTTCACGCAATATAATAATTGAATATACTTTCGTATCATGTGCTTTTCAAGCTTTATATGCAGTTACTGTATTTTGCAATTGAGCAGCTTAGGAGTACGCGAAATACAGTTTTTCGTTTCCAAACACGTAACCAAAAGTAAACATATACAATACAAACGTTTATTATAACGTGATAATCAACTCATTCATATCAAATAAATAAACTTGTTTAAAAAATGAAAATTAATATTTTTTACGTTGTATTAATCATTATTGTCATTACAAAAGTGTAGCCTCTACGTCACATGCCCGTTAATTCAAAATTCTTAATTTTTATCGCGTTTATTGTTTTATAGCATCAAAACTGATTCTCCTTCTAAGTTTAAAATTTGATATTACAAAAGCGTTCAATCGCTTTTATTGTAAATATATATTACAAACGCTTACTATAATAGCACAATCCAAGTTAAATCAAAGTTTATGTAATTCTACATTCTTCTAAATTTTTATCCGTGTAACACATACAATGATGATACAACTGAAGCTAGCAGACAATTTCCAGCAAGCGCAATAGGAATTCTCAACAAAATTTGAATCTAAAATCGATCTCTTAATTTTGTGCGGTATAACACATTTCATTGCATGAAATTTTCTTACGCACTTTTTAAAGCGTTTCCGAGATATTCTGAATAGATTTAAAAAATTGTTCAATTGTATAAAAACCTACTGCTTAATTTCCGTTTGCCTGCTATTCCCCTGCTAGTCCCTAGTATTCATTTTATGAAACTTGTTTTACACATTTTTCGAAGTGTCTTCGAGATATCGCGAATAAAATTAAAAAAGATTATTTTGTTTGAAAAATCAAACATTTTTTGCAATTTATACGGAATATCTCATCATCTTTAACTGCAGATATTTATATAACAAGATAATAAAAAATATTTTTTAAAAATTTTCTTGTACATCAAGAGTACTAAAATATATTTAAGAAAGTTTGAAAACGTTAAGTAAGTGTTTGTTTTACCAAAAAAAAAAATTAAAAAAATAAAAAAAATAAAAAGAGTAAAAAAAAGCACCAAAAATAGAATCAAATAACTTTAAAAAACCGTACAATGAATGAAATTTATATTTACCATCGCATTCTTGAAATCTTCTGTTTTCAATTGCTCCTCCAGTAAATCTAAGTCATTAGCATCTTTTAAAGGAATGAAGCTATTAATATTGTTGGCGATCTCAAATTGCCTTTTAGCGTTGGGCTCATGTTCATTCTTTTTCTCATCATCACGAATATGTTTCCACATGCGCCCCAAATCAGCTAAAATGGCGTTGTTCTTTTTCATATTTTCTTCGAGTAGTCCTACATGTACATAAATAAATGTTAACATATAAATAAATATTGTTAGATTAATATAATAGAATAATAGAAATGTAATGTATCATTTACTAATAATATAATTAAGTTTTTTGTCCAATGTTGTCCCGTACTGCTTCTTGGCATTCGTACATTTTCCAGTGGAATTTTTCGCCGCAGTTTGTGTGACAACGTGCGTTTCTGTAATAGTTATTATTTCTCAACAGGTAATTTTACGAAACATAAAATATAACAACATTATAAATAAAGAGGAACGTGATTTTT